CTCATCAGGAGGAGGCTCAAAATTTTCGACATTTTTTCTCAGCACCTCCAGTACCTAATTGATTATGATTATCACGCCTGGGCCTGGTATGTACCTATTCGGGGTTTCTCTGGGGAATTGACGATGACATCCGATCCAATCAATTCCACCGATGACACTAAAATGAAATAAAACTGGTTCTTCCTCTGGATGATCAGGGGCGTGAGCAGCTTCTGGAACTTATCCGGTCCTCGATAATCCCCGCTCTGTCCTCGGGCAGTCGCGAAAAGCCCAAGCGAAGGGCAAAATTGGACAAAGGAAGATGAAAATTTAGGAGAAAAACCAAACCGACGATGTTCCCCTGCTTTCCTGCCCCCTCCCGTCGTTTCTCCTGGCCTGGACTGGCTGATAGACCCTTGCTAGCATTAGGCCCCTTGTTAGGGCCCAAAAGTCTAAGTCGTCTGTCCAATACAAGGCTCTCGTCTTGCTCGGGGGAACTATCCGTGCCCCCCCGGGGGACATGGTAGGTCGGCTGTCTAGGTTGGACCGTTCCGCTGGGCCCTCCAAAAACCACCCCCTAAGGCCTGACTCTCAGGTTTCTTCTTTCACTGTCCTGTTGCTGAGGCTTTGCACTTCCACGGACTCCGCTTTCACCCCGGCTGTCTCGAATCTGGTACCCGAGCCCATTCCAACGGGGGGCCAGAAGAGGCTGAAATTACGGGCATGGGAGAGATGAGGGAGGATGAAAAGTCTGAAAAAGAAGTTGCCTTTCTAACCGCGAGTCGAGCCGAACTGATATGTGAAGCCATCGTGACTCGGACATCTTGTGGGTGTGGCGCTGGTATTGATACTGGATATCTTGCTAGTCAAAGTCTGTCTCCACGATCTTCGAGGAACCCTGACAGCAAACATTGTGTATTTTGTGATTTATCGATTGTTCCATCATCAGAAACCGACTGCTTTCATCCATAGTCCATTCTAGACCTTTGGCACATGAGACTGAGACTTGTGTCTCCTGTGCCTGGTTCAGGAACGGGGGTGAGGACTTTCGATTAAGCCGAAAAAGAGCAAGGAAGACATCTACGCCCGGGCCAGCTGAAGGCGCGTAACTTATGAGTCGCATAGACGGACTCGAATGTCGTGCTTGTCATGTCGATTCCGCTGTTCAGGGTGAGGCTCACCGAGGACGGACTTGGGATTCGTTCGTCTCAGTCAGTTTGATCACGCGCACTGCCCTGGCTTCCAAGTTCCTCACTTATACCGTTGTGCCCCTGTCCGTCAGGAGACAGACTGGTGATTCTACATTGTTCGTGATGGTCGACGGCCAAGCCCAAGCCCAAGCCATCGCCGCTCGCTACCAGAGAGTGGGATCCTGTTCTTGTTCTCCCCTGCAACGGTCGCCTCTCCCGAGTGGATATCTACTTTCGAAGCAAATTGCTTCACAGAGTTGGGCTCTAACCCCGCAAACAACCTTGTTGATTCATCTTATTGTATACCAGTACAATTCAGGGTCAAGGTCAAGGCTTTTGCATTTCACACGATGGTCATGAGGTCAAGCCTACGTGGGATTTGAAGCACGGTCAGTCAACCAATTTTGGGCAGAGTTGAGGATGCTTACAGTGGAGTTTAACTACGAGGGTAATGCGCCAATTTGGTTCGTAGAGACTCACATCACGTTGCATCGACCACCAAAGGCTCTTATCGGCTAATGATAGAATAAGAAACATGGTAATACTTATTTACTTCCGTACATACATACTTCCACTGGCCCATTGTTTCGCCAACTAGGTTTGAGCCTCTTTGATCGGCACCAAGAGCTACAAACGGTAAGTCAGGGCGGGTTGAAGATTAACTCAATTCAAGGGATGAGCTGTCTGGCGGGTTTCCGCATTAGGTTCTTTTGTGTTGGTTATTGAATAAGTGATACCTATATCTGGATTGAAGTGTCGATGGCTGGCTTGCGGCATGGCTTGGAGAAATGCCAACAGAGTGATATCGGAAACTTGACCTCTTGGTTGACTCAGACTATACGTCTACTGTAGATAGAGCAGAGGGTTGGTTGCGCGTTCCGAACTCACACTTTTTACCCGGTGTATCATTGAGAGAGTAACTATGACGCTCGCAGGAATCATCATATTGCTTTCGGGAATCCATGGCCCAACACACAGACACACACACATTGTACGCGCGCAGGCACGGCAGCTTCTTTACAGCCATGATGGAAATACTATGTCTCGTAAAATCTCTCGGGGTTTCATCAACAGCATTATCACAACCGCCCTCCTCTCGCTTGCGCCCCCATGTTGGCTGGAAAGCCCACGCTGGAACCTCCCACGCTTTTAAGAGACACCCCCCCACGCCCCCCTTCTCTGAGGCTTCTCATCTTGTTCTACAGCGCAGGCAAGGTAGCAACTCAGTAAGGTGTATCTGTATGTACAGAGTTGGCTGTTTTGATGCTACGGATGGAATTGCCAATCGACCTTTTGCAATGGCGTGAGTTTGCGTGCGACCTTATAAGATTGCAGTTATTGGTGCACTGGAGCTGTATGTATGTACTGTCGAACTGTACATGGCTCTGACTGATAACGAACGGACGAACTTTTGCTCTGCAACACTGAAAGGATATTCCCTGACAACCCCACGTCTGGGGGCGAGCTATGAACCTCGATCACACCGGGCTGAATTATCTTTCCGTGTCTCTGTACTTTTCTCGATCTCGACCATATCGCTCCTGAAGTCGTTGCAACTAATACGTTTGTAGCTGTAGAGTCGGGAATTATATGAAAGTAACCTGAGACAGATTCATGATACGTATCCGTGCTGTTTCCCCTCAGGGTCCTCACGCCAGTCTCCAAAACAAGACGACAGACACCCTCGTTACCCCAGCGGCTCATCGCCGCAAGCCGAGCATCCAAGTCAGACATTTCAAGACATTCATTCGCCAATGTTGAGGTAGGTAGGCGCTTGAGAGCTGTGGAAGAAAGATGAAATTCTAGATACTTGTCGAGTCTCCCTTGACTTGGCCTTGACTTACTTGGTCTAGGAAATAGAATGAGAAAGAGAATCTCGCCTAGACTTCTGTCGCCATCTCTAGCATATACTGGACGTGCATGCGTGTGGAGTACATATGCATGCATGCATGCATATACGGTACGGTAGATAGATACGTTCACCTTACCTGTGTAGATGGATGCAGTTTAGCTGGCTGACTGGTAAACACCAAAGAGGATCAACGTACTGCTCGCCAAAGCCTTGATAATTGACCGACCAGCCCTGGGCACAATCTCACCTACCTTACCTATTAGTTAGCTACTCTACTGCAACACGGTACCGCTGAGCTGGGGAAAGATTGAGGAGTACCCGAAGATGTGATCGGATATCAGGAAGATCATTGGATCTAGGCAAAGGGTCCCGTCTTCACCCGCCAGTCGCAACGCAGATAGATGCACCTCTAGTTACGGTAGCTCATGAGTTGAGTTGCTTGAGTTGCAGCAATACCTAGGTACCCAGTTACAATAATTACCGACTGTCTCTGTTGGTCACCTCAGTATTGCGACACTGCACTCCTCCCCTCACCGTTCCCCTCAACTACCGATAATCTGACCGTGGCCGCAGCAGCACTGTATCTATGTACATCCATCATTGTTTGTGTCTGCGTCTGTATCGCAATCGTAATCGCTCTCTGAAGTTTAAAGGTCTTCTCAGGAGGAGGAGGAGGAGGAGGTAGGGCGATTGAACGCCATCCACAATCATCTCATCGGTCCCTTGACATGATAGAGTTTATGGATTGTCGTCAGTGTCCTTGGACTACTATCTCAGGTCTAGTTAGTAGGTAGGAATGTACTCTACCGTACGGAGTACTGCCCTACTATAATTTTAGTAGTAATTGACCTGCGGTCTTGAGGATGAGGTCAAATCCGCCGTCGTCTCTGGTGGCTTCTTACCTTATCTCCCCCGCTCTCCCTTCCTTCTTGGTGACCTGAGTGATTGACTGACCTGCCCGTTTCTTTAGAGTCAAAACCAAATCAGTGCCTTCCTATTACCTAGTACCTAGGTATGTACTATTCCATCATCTCTCCCTCCCGTCGTTTTTATCCCCGCTCTTTCTCAGATTCGCCATGCCTTCTGACTATTTTACCTTATCTACCTATATTCCCTTCTCATCGTCTTCAATCACTGCGACTTATTCATTCCTCCAACTTCTTCATCCTCCTCCTCTTGCTTCTTTTCATTGACCAACCCAGTTGACCCGGAGCAGATTCAACCACCAACCACTACGCTTAACACCCACTGTAACCGTCTGCCCAATACCATCGCAGCGGGCGCAAGACTCCGCTATCCGGCCGGTGACCGAAGTGTCAGTGCATAACGAAACGAACAGTGACCAGCGAGCGACGGCGGGCAGAAGCACACACTGACTGACTGGACTCGACCAGACCACACCTGGACGGGTCCCCACGAAATTCGTCACCGCAACTGGGTCTGGGGGAGGTCTCTAGTCGCTTCAACGCCACCACGCCTCGACCAGGTTTAGCTCATCCCTGGCCTGCCATCCCCATCCATCCCTCGTACAGTACACGCCCAGGAAAACTCACACACCCACAACACCAGCGCCGGGTTACGCTACGTACTCCTCCGGTACAGTACGCTAGAAACTAGCCCCAAACAGAACCTGTCCACCTGCCCCCAAGAACCCCGGCTACGGCTATCGCCTGCTGTTTGCTCAAGCACTTGTCCGGGCCCTTTAGGTTGACTCTACGCCTGCAACTACAAACTACTATAAGCCTGGCCCCCCACCCAGATTGTGAAATCCATCCTATTCTCTATACTTCGTGCCCACGCTAGATCTTTGACTCTCTCGTCAATTCATCTCAAATTGATAGCATACCTAACATACGTTTTTGTTTGCCTTTGCACTCGTCTGTACCCATGAGACTCTAACCTCGAGCCCTCCCAATTTCACCTTCCCTGGGTGCTTCGGCATTGACAAAGATTCCTTCGGTTTTCCTCACACTCCCATCATGGCTGTCGTTCTTCCATCCGACGACAACGGTTACTTCGCCGGCTCCGGACTACGACGCTCACATTCTCACTCCAACTTCAGCTCATCGAATTCACCATTTTCCACGTCTTCTCACCTCAGCGACCATTACAAGCCTGCATCCAAGTCTTACGCCGAATCTAACTCTTCATCTGCTCCCTCGTCTCCCCGTACCGTCCACGCCGACTCTGTCGATCTCTCCTACGCATCTACTCCTGCCACTAATCTCTCTATTGCCTCTGACTACGACGACAACATTGGACTTGCTGAATCACCTGAAGATCACTTCATGTTTCCATCCTTTGCGCAGGAGAAGTTTTATGTTCACCCAGAGATCCGCCCTGAAATCCACCATGATGACAACCTAGAGCCACCGCCCAGTCCCCGAACCGGCGACTCTTACACTGTTTCTCCTGCGGAACACGAGAACTCTGAAGAGGTCTCTGATGATACATCAAGGCCCGAAACGCCTGAACATGAAAAGTCCGAACATGCAGAGGACGACACTGCAGTGTCAAGTCGACCATCCCGCCAGGTGGACTATCTATCTCATGAGTGGAGAGAGGAAGATATCTGGTCATCATGGCGATATGTCGTCACTCGACGGGGGGAGTTCCCCAACAGTGCTCGGTTAGAGAATGCTTCTTGGAGGACCTGGATGAAGGCCAAAAATAACCTGAAGACCATCTCCCCCGAATCTCTCAATTGGTTTGTTTCCCTCAAAATATCCCATTTGACTCTACTAAAATGCTTACGTTCTCTAGGCTTAAGGATTGTGATGTCACCTGGCTCTATGGCCCATTGCAGTCGGGACCCAAGAACCTCCATCCTACACATACTGAGCCTTCGAGCGTGTCGTTATCCAAAGCTGACTCACTGGTCAACCTCAACAAGAAGCCTATCCTAAAGAAGAGAAGCATGTCCGAAGTGATGCTTCAGCGATCACTGTCTACAGCTTCATTATTAAAGCAGGCCACCGCGGCTGTCAAGGCCCAAGAGACAAGAGGAATTCTTCGACCACACCTCGGTCGCTCATCAACAGATTACTTCGCCTATCCCTTCGCATCACGTCGGTTGAGTGGAGACAGCAGCAGCGTTGCTCCTTCAGTCGAGTCATCTGGAATCATTTCTCCCAACTCTGAGCGAAAACACATTCATTTCAATGAGCAAGTCGAGCAATGTATAGCTGTCGAAGCCAAGGGCGAAGACGAGGATGAAATGGTTGATGAGCACTTTGCTTCAGATAGCGACTCAGATGATGGCGTGATGATGAAACGAGTCAGGACCAAAAAGAGGCCTATTTCTCGACGCAAGACTATGAAGTCAAAGCCAGCTGCTGAAGGCAAGACAATCGCCATGTTGCCGTCCACCACCCTCAAGTATCGGGAAGACACCCCTGAGCCACGAGAGACTGCAATGAAGCACTCCCGAAGCCCTCTCATGTCTCCTTCATCTTCACAGGAGACGCTAAGACCTACTAAGCAATCAGGGAAGTTCTTTTTCGGTGAGGAAGACCACGACGATGGTCTTGACGACGCTTTATTAAGTCCCCGCTCAGGGTGGGCGTCACCTCCCAGCGAAGGTGCCAATGGAGGCCTGAGCAGATCCATCTCGTCAGGCAGTCTTTGTGAGGAGCCTGCGGGCATGCGACGCACACCATCCGGTATGTTTATGCCTTATGAGGAGGGCGAAATACAATCCGGAGACGGCATTTTCGGTCGAGTTATTGACACAGTCAATACAGCCCGTGATATCGCCCACGTTATTTGGAACGTTGGCTGGAGGAAGTAATGGATACACAAGCGTTCGACTTTTAGCGACGCGATTGGAATTTGAACAAGCTTATGAGCTTGTGACTCACTAAGCGTGAGCTGAAACGACGCCATGACAACATAAAAAAAGCGCATCTATCTATATACGGGAATTTCGGAGATAATTGGCATTGATCCGCCATACTACCGCGACTATCAGGAAGCAAAGGCTTGTTGACGGAGAGCCTGTGCCAGTGTCACGACAACATCTTGGAGAGTGGCCCCGGAATCGCATTTCTATCTTTGATACACGGTCTGTAACAACGAATGGAGACGAAAAGGCTAAAGAAAAGCACCGTGTTTATTGTGGAAGAGCTGGGGTAGCTGCGAGGGATTTTCATGGGTAAAGGAGAGGCAGCTCACACCAAAGGCGCCATCTTTGGTTTTCAGGCTTTTCTTTCTACGATGGAGCAACCTACCCCTGACGCCCCCGGTACCCGGGTTCCGATTACGAAATCGGGGCAACGGGAAAAAGCCATTCCAGAGGTCACAGGCCCGGGGGATATTCGGCGTTATAGTTTTTTGTTCCCGTCTTTCTTTTGTGGCAAGGGTTTTGTTTTTTTCACTTCATGATATCCCATGGGCAAGTGGGTACTACGGATCACAGACGGCCTCGGGCGGTTATGGACGGATCAGGAAAGGGAAGGGTACAGGCCATGGGGTCAATTGATTTTTTTCGGCGACTACGGCGACTCTACGGAACGGTCAAGGCCAGGCAGGACAGGGACAATTTAAACAAAGGAAGAAGAAGAAGGACACAAACGGCAAATGGCAACAGGACCGGGTCTTCAGTGCGTGCGTTGGTGAATTGGTTGTACATAAAAGACAGGGGGTTTGCATCTCGACGTACTCGGGCGGACCGGACGGAAGCCGTTACAAAACCACACAAAAGCATTCATGATATAATAATATGGTGTTCCCATCATCTCGATATTTTTGAGTATTTGTCCATGTGAGAATCTGTGCATGCTTCCCTATAGCCTAACGTGGCATACATTTATTTCGTCAACACAACGCAGGTCAATAATAAGTAAGCTTGACAGGGGACAAATGAGAGTTTTGACTTTGCCGTCCCTTGCTGATCATACTGGCCCTGAAAACTTAGTCGTCCTAGCCTTTACCTCTTGCAGACAAAATTCGACTTTGCCACATCCGAAGCGCAGCTTTACGAAACGGTCCAATCAACACATCCTCTATGTCGATCACCAATTGAGATGCAAAGCAGCAAAATTGTTGGGGAAACAGGACGCGGGCTGGTCTGTTCTCTCTGTGCGCGTGACCTCATTCCACGTGCCCTAGCGAAGTGCCCCAGAGTGTCAAGTACTTGTCTGTCAAAAGAGACGCTGTAATTCGTAGTACGGCTGTTTTGGCAGGGATATGGGTTGTTTGAAAGGATGTCGTGTGAGTGTGTCTGCCCGTGAGGCTATTAGCCGAGGATATGATGCTGCTTACGACCCAACAGCAAGGGAAGACTTCCGTCGATGGTCACTTGCGACATGCGGTATTGGCATCGATGGAATTTTGTTAATAGGTGGTTCTATAAATGGATGATCTACTGTACATCTCATGCTTTTGATTCCCAAAGCTATCGCAAGTTTGTGCTGGTCATGTAAAAAATATGGTACAGGTATGTTACAAGTGACGTGCATCGGGCAAGGGGGAGATCTGTCGTCAGCGATGTATTCCCCCCTTAAAATGGTTAAAATGGGTATCGTACAGTGCATTTCAAGCACGACACCCCCGAGGACCACTTCACTGCTGATGTCAATCAAGTCTTAGGCAAGAAACCCCAGGTTTTTCTTACGCAGGGGGCAACTCGATAGGATGTGCGAAAATGCGGGGAAGAGATGAGCGACTCCACGTCAGTCGATGGCTTATTGCTGAGAGCCATTGAGAAAAAGGCGGAGAGACATTGGAGCATGGGGACAGAGGAAAGAGACGTGAGACATAAACACCGCCAATCTCACTCACGATGCTGCAAGCCATGGTTTCGCCGTCAAGGCGGTGACGCTCAAACTTAGTGTTTCTTTCCACCCCAACAAAGTCTTGCTTCGAGAAGACCAAAGAAGACCCTGGGGCGCAGCTCACGAGGCCGGGGCCAGGGACGCGGCGTCCGGGGAGAGTGCCGGCTGGCTAACGTCTCTGTAGTTCTGCCCGGGTGTTTGGATAGTGCTTGAGCGCTTTGACAAACATGCTGCGAGCGTGAACGTTGACATTTGCCAGCTCAACATCGAACTTGTCGCCCACCTTGATATCCTTGATGAGCACGAGGCCATCGATACCGTCGGTGGATAAGAGGGCCGGCATATCAAATAAGTCTACCCGACCGGACACGCCTTGCTTCCAACGAGCATCAACTGTAAAACTCATGCGCTTAGGTGCTGTCCCTTCAAACTGCCAGGCCCGCACAACCGCCATGAGCATCCACTCTTGGGTGCCGCGAGACACAGTCCGGGCCATTCTCTCGCGCATACGCAACAGCGAGAGCGTGTTGCGAAGTGTCTCCTCCGTGAACGGCAATATGTCATTCAGATCATCAGTCTTGGGGTCTAGCCTGCGGTTCACCTGCCGCTCATGTGCCAATGCTGCATGAATTTGCCAGTGGACAATGAGGTCAGAGAAGCGGCGAAGAGGAGAAGTGGCTTTCGCATACATGTCCAGACCGAGCATGAAATAAGGGCCGGGTTCTGCCGACATCTCGATGCCACCAGTCAAGCGTGTCAGCTCCTGACGTTGCGCTCCTGAAGGGGCGATGCCCTTCTCGAGCAGAGGGTAGAGCTCTTTCGTGGCGTATTCGAGAAGTTTTGTCTTATTCGTCTGCGAATGGGCGTCTCTTCGGTATGGTAAAGGGATTTTACGGTCAGAGCTCCATCGAGCAGCAATCTCACCGGCAAGCACCATTGTGTTAGTCACCACAGAGGCACCGTTGAATGCGTCGTAGCCGACCTTGATATAGGGGTCAGCTGGCAGGACCTTGGTTCCTTCTGCCTGCTCCATGGGGACATCTTCGAAAGCCACAGTAACGGAAGCGCCTGGCAAGAAAACAGGCCAGGCCCCCTTCTCCAGACGCCTTTTCCTGAGAGCCTGAGACAGACGGTGAAGGATCAGAAGGTCCTCTTTGCTCCTGTCATCCAAGTTCTTAGCTGACATCAAGGGGCGGTTTGGTGCCACATCCAACTTGTCAGGTGGCTCGCCAACAACAAGAGTCTGGTCAGATACTGGAGGGGGTGGAGGTTCGTTACAAAACTCAGCAACATCTCTTGGATCCAGGTACTTGACATTGTGCAAAGTACCTGGCTCGATCTTGTAGTCTAGAAGATCTCCGTACTCGTTAAGCCTGGCACTAAAGGTCAGGGCTGGTCGACCATCGGCAAGCGAGTATTGTTCAACCAAACTGCCCGACTTGTAATCTCCTGAATTTTCCAGACCCAGATCGTTTGGAAGCATGGCCTGAAAGTGGCCAGGAAGGTAGATATTCTCGGGTATTAGCTCGAGGAACCTGCCCAGCTCAGAGTTGGGTCGAATACCGGATGCTGGATCGGCTGTATGCACGTGAATCCAGAATTCGTCAGGTTTGTCTGTTCGTTCTAAAGAGATGCCATCATCAATAAGTATTGTAGAAGGGGCGTCAATGCAGAAGACAGGGGTGTTGGCCCAGTCTCGTCTGGCACCCTCCGCCACGTCTGGTCGAGTTGAGTCCTCGATATTAACTGGAGTCTCTCGAATGAGGCCGCCTCCACTCTCAATCTTGATTTCAGGGAAACGAACTTTATAGCGGGATGGTATTTCCCACGGTGGGATTATCCCCAACTCTTGTAAGAAGGTCCATGCGCAAGACTGATTCAGGTCAGCGCCCTCATATAGATCCAGAGCTCGCAGAATGAGAGAACCATCAGCGTGGAAGTGTGATGAATCCTCGAACAAGTCGTAGCTTGCCCACCACTCAAGAAAGCGGATGAACTCCATGTGCTTCCTGGACCATTCACCGGTTTCAAGGGTGACTCCTTTAGTCGGAGCGAGGATTCCATAAGGTGTCCACGAACGCTTATCTCTGTTGGCAAGAACGATTTGTCTTGCCTTGAGAATGAAAGTACCAAATGCTGTTTCCGACATATCAGAAGACGTCATATTTCCTGACGTCTTTGCCATGAGATGAATATACTCGCGGATCATGAGAGTCACTCGATTGATCATCATGAAATCCTGATACGGGAAAATCTCAAAGAGATGATCCTTTCGATGGCAGTCAGTCGAAGGGCTTAATGGCCTGAAAATAAAGTCGTTTCGTAGGAGCGCTGTGTGAACTGCGTATAAAGCAGCAGGAGGAAACTGGGTGCCCTTTTTGAGGGAATTGGGTAACAACAAGTCGGCAAGCTCGAACAGACTCAAGTATTTGGTCTTTTTCCCATCTGAGACCAGTGATCTTGCCCTGTCTAGATTGTTAAGACTTGTCTGGAAGGCCTCGTCCGCTTCCAACATGAAATTCTTCATTTTGTTGATCAGATGAGCACCAACGCCTCGCCCAGGGCCCTGGTCTTGTTTGCGTAATTCTTCGTACTCGTCCGCCGTGGCATTGGGAGGAATCAGAGAGAGAACTGGCTGCAGCTCCTTGGCGGCGGCGAACTTAGACACTGAGAAGAGCGCCGAGAAACCCATGCTCATCACCCATCTTCCAGTATTGGTATAAAAGTGATACCGTTGACCAAAGAACCCCAAGTATATAGCAAATAAGGGTGTCCGGGAGCCAGGCTGCTTCATTTCAACAAGATCGCCTGGAGCATGGGACTTGTGCCCAACAATGCCGACTTCAGCATCCTCCTTACTGTAGTTCTCATCTGGGCCCACCATACTCACTGAATCAGACTTGAAATTATCCAATTCGGATGAGCCAGTAGATTGAGGACGTGTGTTGCTATTGGTGACAGTGTTCCAGAAGGTAAGATCCGGGACAATTGGGGTTACCTCCCTGTCAGGGTCGTT